AGGGAATTGAGGCTAAGGATTTGAAATCAGGGGACATGAAACCTGGGCAGCACTTTGTTTCTGGGAAGACGTTGGTTAGGGTATTTTTAGAGGGCAGAAGAGGGGAAGGACATGCATAGGAAACTAGATCCTGCAGAGTGTGGCCTTTGGGGATTCAGAGAAGGAGCAAGAAGGGCTGACAGCATCAATGAAGGATTAATGCGATAGACTTTCCAAATTGCACATGCCCCTTTTTTCATGATTTTATTTTTAATCCTGGACTCTCCATCTGTCCCTCTGGCTACTCTCTGGCTGCTTCAGGGCTAATTCAAGGCTGCTGTGCCATGGCTTCCAGGCCTCACACGTCAAGTCTCATAGTCTTTGCTGCATCCCATCAGGAGAATGAAGGCAGACGTGGATGACAGAATTCAGCAGACTGGAGTGCCAACAGAAAGCACGGGGCACTCAATTTAGTGCCTCTGGGGCAGCTGCTCTGTTTACTATCCCCTCAAGGCTAGCCCTGAAATCGTAGGAGCATTAGGAAGGACACTGAAGGCCAAAGAGATGGATTTACGGAAGGAGCTTTTTAGTATCTTTGTTGGACAGCGAGAATGTGGTAGGAGCTGGGAAGGATAGTTTGCTGGGAGATACCAGAGGAATGCAGCTGGACCTGTACAGATTGTCTGCTCGTCAGCTGGATATCCCGTGGGACAATTTCAAAGGCACTAAAGACATTTAAGAACCCAAGTCCCATTGAAAGTCATTGACTTGAAAAATCTACCCCTGTGTGTTCAGTGCATGAAAAAGTGTATCTGACCTGTGGTCATGGTATGAATGCTGTACCCTTGAGTTTCTGTAGAGAATGGTTTGAAGGGAAACAGCTGGCTCTAAGACTAGTGAAACTCCGAGCAACAGACCTTAAATTACTGTCCTATTCTGAAAAATGCCTATGTAAAAATAGGACCTTCTTACTCAACAGATCCATTCTCAGTGTGTAAACAGAGTGAGGCCTACTGACTAGTGACAAAAATAAGACTTTACAGCTTTTTCACAGCCCTGAAAAGCCAATGCAGCTGGTAGCATAGGGAAATTAGATGCTAATCCAGGTACCAGCAGAAATATTTATTAAGGGCCAATCACTTGTCTCTGTGAAGACTCTCTGATGAGGGTTGTATAGGAGCTGCCACGAACTGAAGTTCAGCTTGCAGCGCATTTTGCAGTAGTGAGGGAAGAAAGGAACTAACCTGGGATTGATTTCATAGCCCAGAGGGGGTTTACAGAGCTGGCAGTCAGAGAGAAAATATTGCAGACTAGTAAGATGATTTTATGTGATATGGTCAGTAAAGTAGCTTCCACCAAACAGTTGTTGCTGGGGCCTTTTCTAGGGTGAAACTGCTTTTCAGTTCACCCTTACAAATCTCACTCTGCACGTGTGTGCTGATCTGCACAGAGGTCTTTGCAGAAGGCAGAGCTATACTTGTTGTACTTAATAGTATTTACCCCATCCAGACAGCTGCAAATCCATGTCTTTCCTTCAGGACTGTGTTACGTGTTAGACCTGAGCAATCCCAGAGAAATAATGTGTGAAGTTTTTATAAATTCCCATTTTGACAGCCTATGGCAGTCCAGTGTAAAACTGTTCCTTGTTCCTTCTCTTTAGATGTCCAATGGAATCCAGCTCGAATACTGCTAGTTCAGTCCCAAATCCATAGAAAAGGGACAGAGCTCCTATGGCCCCTTTGTGTCTGGGGTACTAATATTCTCAGAATTTCTACGTCTTTTCCAGTTTACTTGACAAAGCTCTGTCCCTTTCTTATTTTTACATGCAAAAGCTGGAAGGATTTGAGTCAGGTGGCCTTGGCTAGGGTGAGAAATGTCAACAGTTTAATAAGAGGAGCAGCAGAAACCATTTTGTTGCTTTTACCCAGGAATAGAGTAGCTGGCAGAATTAATAAAGGGCTATCTAGCCATCCACCTGCAGATCACTTCCTCAAATAAAGATCAGGTCTAAAATTATTGTCATCTACACACTGTACATCAGTGAATATGTAAGAACTGAAGGCCCTGTCTCGGTTCCCAGTTCCACATCACAACCTCCACCATTGGACAGACACGAGCTGTCCCCTTGTTGGCATCTCAGCTGAGAAGGGTCAGGACCAAGTAGCTTTGATGCTGAATTCCACTCTTACCCCTGGAACTCAGGACAGAGCAGTCTGTGCCATGGAGAAGCAGAGCTTTTCAGTTTCCAGGGATTCCAACTTGGTATGTTGTAGGAACACAGAACTGCAGAGACACCTTTCTGGGTAATTCCTGTTCTCTGTTATTGCAGGTAGCCGTGTTACCTAATCTTTTCCACTAACTGACCAAAGCTCCATTTTATAATTAGCCATGGTATCTTTGTCCCAGAAGGCCAATTCAAAAGATTGCTTTTGAGCTAGAAAACAAAACAAAACAAGCACCCCCCCACCCCCCCCTACCCCCGAAAATATTAAAGGAAATAATTTTACCTCTGTTTTGTTTGGGGCCTGATTTCTGGCTGATTTAATGGTTGTATTTATCCTCTAACACCTGTTCATCTATTCATTCACTCATATTCAGTTAAGCAAGGTATTTGAACATCTTCAGAAATGAATGTGTGATGATACTCGACTGAATATGTGCTGGCAGTGACCTACTGCTAGGATGAACAGTTTGGGTTATCTGTGGAGGGGACCTCCACTGCATTACAAGGTCCATTAACATAGTGCATACCTTAGGAGATGAAGGGTCAAGCCCACCCTTGACAAACCTGTATGGAAGCTGAGGATTTCTTTAGTTTATATTGCACATTTTTTGTAGGAGGGTGAGGGGCACAAGGCGATCTGAGGAATGATGGAATAATGTTAACATTCCTCTTGTCCTTGCAGGCTCGGGGATCTGGAGGTGGCAGGAGACGGAATGATGCTGCCTCCCAGGATGATCATGACAAACCCTATGTTTGTGACAGTAAGTAGCACCCAGACAGTTGATTCTGCTTGCAGCCTGGTCCTACCGGCTCAGTGCACTCAGGACTTCATCTTTTCCCTTCCAGCAAAATATTCTGTTGCTCTCTGACTTGCATGTTTGCCACCTGCTGCTGCTGCTCTTGGTGTTTTTGCATGAAGGAAATAAAATTAAGTCCTCGGCAAGACTCCACTTCCCTTTGCCCTGTAATAAATCATCTCTTATATTTTCTTTCTCTTTCTCCTTCTCTTTTTCTGGCTTCTCTGCCTTTTATCTTCCTTTCCCCCATGTAAGATTCACCCTCTATTTCTTTCTCTGTTTCAGATAGTTACAAACAAAAGCATAAGTCAAAAATCTCCGACAAAGGTACTTCACCCTTGTTGTATCTCTTCATATATTTGGTGATTCTCTTTCCTTCAGTCCTTTTAAAATCTCACTGGGCTAAATTTTGAAGGTCTTGTTCTCATCCCTCACTCAGAAAGTACTCTTGTGGCATCATCAGGAGTTGATCCCTCCTAAGAAACAAACACAGCTGGAATGCTTTGTTTTGATACATATTCCCTTTGAATATGGCCATGCTGTTTGACATCTTGCAGTGGGACTGCAGGTGAAGTAAGGCATTGCCCCAACTGAGAAATTATACCAGAGCCCAATGCCCAAACTGGAGAAAGATACCGGAGTCCTAGTATGAGGCAGGAGTCCAATATTTGATATGCAATGTATTTTTTTTAATGGCCCAGTCCTTGGTGCTTTCCTCCTCCTTTTCATATCCTTTTTTGCTTCACTATGTCATTTCTGTGAAGAGCACTTATCTTACTCACATGCTTTTGAGGTCTCCCATCTTAAGGCTTACTGTAGAGGGTACATGCAATACTAATTTGTGCTAGTGGGTACCTTCTATCCTATAAGACAATAACCTAACAAAAGTTAATAGAAATAGGAGAATAGCAGGAGATCTTTACTTCTGTGATCCAAAAATGTTTGGTGGTTTTGAGGACAATTAGAATCCCCCTTTCTCCACTATTTACCTATCTTGCAACGTTACTGACCTTAAAACACCAAGTGTTACTATGTCAATCTATGGGAGTATTTCCTGCTTATTTTTAAAAACATGAAGAAATAAGGAGCATGCATGGTAAATAAGAACTATATTCCATGTGATCAAATCATATTCTTTTATGGTGAGACCAGGTGACTCTGCACAGTACAGTGATGGGCATGTGGGTATTTTGCTTCAGCAAGGTGAATATTCTAAGGGCAATAAACAGAAATGAAAAGACTTGCACGTGAATGCGAGTGTCTGAACACATGATCAAGGAGGAAGAGCTCTTTAGGATATGAAGAGTCTGGACATTTCTGCTGTGGTTCAATAGCTGTCCTTGTGTGTTGGAAGAACTAAAATGTGTCTTCTAAGGCTTCTCTAGTAGCCCAGTATGTATCTTGCTGAAATCCACAGCTTTTCTCTGCTAGTATATGCATAACTGTCATTATTTCTTTTATGGAACATTCTTCTAAATCCAGGGACACTTGTCAGTGTAGTCATTTTGAACATAATGACTCTTTATGGTCTGATCTTGCTTTGCCTTTGGATCTTACAGAGAACTCCCAACATGCATAATGGTGATTTGCACAGAGTAGATAAAACATCTAAGATATCAAAGCAGGCAGCAGAAATGTGTACTGAAGTCAAAGTTCTGGTACATTGTTGTACTGATGGAATTTTGCCTTGGCTTACATTTTGGAGCATAAATTTCCTCTTTGGTTTTGGAAATACAAACTTTCCTATTTCATTTGGCTGATACCTTTCATTTTTAGGAAACTTATAGTTAGAGGTGAGTCATAAGGAGTTTTGGAATCCAGACTTTAGACAGTGACTCCTCCTTTTCCATTGTAGATAGCTGAGAAAAGGGTTGTGTGGTAGCAGAACTCTTTTAGCTGACTGTGGAGCGGAATGAAAGAACTGTCCCATTTGCAATGCCATCATCCTGAAGTAATATCCTGCCTTTGTTAACTCTCTGTAGAAATGTTACATACAGTTCATTGTGAATAATTGGCTTAAGTTGAAGCCTCTTTCCTGCTTGGGTGAATTTCTTGAATCAATTTTTTCTTTGAAATTATTTGCTAAATATTTTTATAGATAAATCTCAATCCAACCGCGGTAGGTTAGAAGTTGATATGCAGTACTCCATGTGCAGAAGTTTTGGGCAGATAGTTTTGTTTTACATGGAAATTTGCAGGTCAAAAGTACTGAATCTGTTTCCTGTTTGGGAAAACATGATTCCCCCAATCACATTATTGGTATAAATAATTACCTTAATGAGTTGACACTTTACTTTTTCTGTGTATTATTTAGTTTACCTCCAGGTTGCTTTTTCTGCAAGTGTTCTGATATTTGAGTTTGGGAAGTGACCACAAAGAAGAAAGCATAAGCATATCTAAACCAGATTAATTTTCTTATTTAACTGCATGGGCACAAAAAATGATCTGTGGTGAAGAACTACTCTGTTCTTTTTTCGTAGTTATACATTCATGTTTGTGGGAAACAAGAATATATCACCAGGTTTCATCAGTAATAAAGAGGTTATGGGAAAAAACTAGTCTGTGTGTCAGTAAGATGATGCAAGAGCAGTACCCAGCTGACACTGCCCCTTGTGTTGGAAGATAGCAATGTTATTTCTGAAAAGGCCTGGCTTTTTTTGGAAGAGGCATTCAGCTATATACCAATATTAAACCTGGTCCCAATATTAAAACTGACTGGAAATATGGAATTTCTGTACGGTGGAAGGTTTTCAAAGTTCAAAATGTTTTGTCATCCTGTGTTTTTAAGAAAAGGTGGGTGGTTGCTTGTTTTGTGGAATGAAATATTCTGAAATACTTCAGTTGATTTTATTGAGCATATACTGTATCAAAAGTTCAGAATGAAATGTTTGACTATTCAAAGCATCGATAAAATTGCTAACATAACCATGAAATGCCTTGTTTCATCAAATCAGCAAGTGGAAAACTTGTTGGTCAGATTTTCAACGAGTTGCACTGGATAGTGTTGTGCCTTGAGCTCCCTTGTGATAAACGCTTGGATAATGAAAGCAGCAGGGCAGCCTGGTGTGAGATGGGTATAGGCTGGAAATGGTAACATAGCCAAATGGGTCAGCTGCTGTATGAGACCAGACCCAAACACAGCTTGAATACCTGGCTAGGAGATAGAGCAGGTGCTTTAGGATAGTGAAAAGTAGGGCTTGGGGAGCAAAGCAAAGCCTCTGATGTCAAGAAAGAGAAGTGGAAAATATGTCACTACAGCTGTTCATGATAAACTGGGCATATGATTTTTAAAGGAGGGACAGAGTGAACGAATGTATGAATACCTACCTATGTGCTAAGAATTGATGTCATGTTGTTGTCAAATGATCAGCTGGGGAACCGTCAGTTCTACCATAGCAGTCGTCTTAAAAATCTTTCTACTATTTTCATATTCATAGAATCATAGAGTGGTTTGGTT